TCGATAAGAAAATAATAAAAGTGATACTAAGCAAAGGATTATCTTGAAACTTAATTAGGTGCATGCGCACCTCAAGGATTTGCAAAATTAATTTTCTCGCAAAATGAAGCTTCATATTAAAAGATTCTATTCTACATTTTTTTACTGGTTCTGTTATTTTAATTTTAAAAATTTTAGAAAATTTTTTGTTGTAGATAATAATTTTATTACAATCTATCCTTACTGATTTAGTAATGGATTAAGAAATATAAATAGGGAAACTTTTTGAATAAAATTTTATCTTTATCCTAGAAGTATTGTACACGAACAAGAAACATGATTTTTATAACGAATTAATAACTTTTAATTACTAAAAAGTTTTTTTTTAAGTTAATACTATGTTAAAATTAAGGTTGGATAAGGTTTGTTACTTAGTTATTTTGATTATAATTATGTAGTAAAATATATTATATATCTGCAATAATAGACAATATAAAAATATTGCGTTAACAAAAATAAATTTTATGTAAAGGTGATTGTATACTACATTTTAACTGTAATATTGTATTTTCAACAGATGGCATGGCAAGCAATTCACTTAGCAATGGACAAATGATACCAGATAATGAAGATAACACATTCGACCTTCTATTAAAAGAAGCAAAAGCAAAGTTACGTAAAAGAAAGGTTTGACATATGTACTATTTGTTAGTTGTAAATGTAATTTAAAAAATTAGTACAGACGTGGTCACTGATAATATTTAAAACAAAAGTAAGTGGAGCGATATATACTGATATTTTCCACCAACTGAAATATAGTAAAAGTTAAATAATTGTTATAGAGTATAAATGAGTGTTGCTGTATGGCATCTGTAACAAAAGTAGCAATTAACACCTGTATTTTTTAAATTAATTGGAAACATCAATAGCATTGAAATGTATATGATATTCCCTTAATCTATTTCGGTATTTACAAGAATAATGAAAGTATTAAATTTTTTCTATATGGAAGTGTGCTTAATTAAAAACATGTAATTTTAATGGTTTCATTTAAAAAGTCGACATAGTTTTTATAAATAATTTATTCAAACTAATCAAATAATAATTTCCAACGTTTCTTAATTATTAATTTCAACACAAATAATTGTAATTTGAATTTTTTAACTTGAAAGAATATTCACTATAATACATTTTACTTAAAACACATTTTTCATATAGAAAAGTAAATGTATTTTCATCATCTTCGAAAATATTATAGATTAATACAAATGGAGTGCATCATGGAAGAAATTTAAAAGCGCACTTATTATACCTATTACCTATTTGTATGTTTGTATAGAAAAATGTTAAAAGAAGTAACTGAATTTGATAATACATTTACTCTACTTTTAACAATTTAATTATAAATTTTTTAGAATGATTTAAAATGCGTTTAATCTCGAGTTTACAATGCAGTATATGTGTATATTTAAATTTACTTTGCGTCCTTCTTTCCTTACAAGTTAATATTCACTATTTAATATTCAGATAAACTAATTTTCATATCTTCAAATTAAAACCCGTTATTTATTCATATCTTACGTTCCATACGAATTGGCCAAATGTCAAATGTATTATCACTTTTTACTTTTAAATGTTACGAACTTGTAATACTTTTACTACTTGACCCTTGCATACCGAATGTCGGTCCATTTTGATTCGTCTATTGCAACAGTCTTATATACAGAATGTAACACGTAAAGCATGACAATTGAATATCATCAAAAATACTGGTGCTATGAAAAAATGTTAAGAAGAATTAAAGTTGAAGTATGTTAGGGGGCACACTTTTCGGCGTAATTTAATTTTTTATACGCGAAGTTGTTAAGGACATTTCAAGATTACGCCGAAAAAATGTGCTCTGAAATACTTCAATTGTTTTTAACATTTTTTTATATCACGAATATTTTTGACAATATTTTACTGTCACGTTTTACGTACCTCATTTTGTATATACATTTTTCCTTTTCATTATTATTTGATAAAATATTTTGAAAAAATGTTAAATGTAGAGCTGATTACGAAATCTTCCTTTAAAATGTAAATATATAGGTTTTAACATGTGGAACTCACTTCAGCGGTAGACAGGGATACAAAAACAATAAAAAATGTTTATATAAACATGTGCTCTATTTGATCTTGTTCCCGAGTTATAATCATTTTTGTACTCGAACTGTTTACCTTTATGTGTTCGAAATGGCCACTTTCAACCTGGAAACAAGCCTGCAGTCCTCGTTTCGTAGAATTCAATTTTTCAGAAATGTTTTATATTTGTCTTATTGTGTACAGCCTTGTATACGTTGACAAAGTATTTTAATAGTGGTAATGGGTGTGGAATAAACAATCGTTTTCAAACAATGTGACGGTTACAAATTGATGTAATATCGACCTGTCAATCTCCCATAAAGAAAATACGTTTTATACCACATAACTCAGTTTGTCATTATAAATTATTAGAGTGCAAAACGGGTATAACTTGAAAACAAGGTCAAATAGGGTACACAATTATATGAACTTCTTTCATTGTTTTGTATCCCTCGTCGTGTATCCAACGCTTCTGGAGCATCCGGTATCCGAAGGCTAAGTTCTTATCCTCATATACAGAATAACATGGGATTTGAATTTAAGTGTTTTAATAACATCTTTTATAATGTTATTGTTTGTATTAGACACTTTTTTCGTTGTTTGTCAATTTTCCGCCAAATTGACAATAATTTAGTAGATGTTTTTAAATATTAGTTAAAAATGACTATTTTATTAATTTTAAAAGTAAGAATTGGAAATACATTTATCACAATTTTTTAATTAGGTACACATTGTTTTAAGTATAAATTAAGAATCCTAAACAGAAAATTTAATGATTTTATAGATGTAATATGGATGATGATGGATAAAAAAGAACAAATTAAAAATTCATACAAATGAAATTAAAGATTAAGAGTTCCTATTATATGAAAATATATGGAAATTTGTTTTTCATTTCGAAGAAATATGGTAATTTTTCTTTATAATGAAATATCAATTTTTTTATACATTGTACTGATTTCTATTAAACGTTTGATTGCTGGTAAACATGATTTAATTGATTAATTTTATCTATGTTATTGTTTATGCATTACTTAATTATATTACCAAGTGGTGATAATAAGACATATAAACAATATTTTTTTGATAATGGAATCTACAAAATCGTATAATAAACGTAAAATAAGTTATAATTATAGGAGGTTACTTGAACTGTGTTGCTTTATTATTGAAACAAAGCGTAAATTATTATTCGCATTTTCTGCCTATAAATTAAAGTATTTTTGTTTACCTCTTAATAGATGTTGAATTTTTATAGAATATTGTTTAAAATGTTTTGTTTTATGTTATTTTTGATTTGTGTATATATACTATACAAATATCTATTTTTCAGTCAAAATAAATATTTAGCAAGTGAAAAATTTTCTATACTATATGATAAATTTTTAAAATATAGTTCTACTACACCATAGAGAATATATAAAATAACGTGTGTTGAAATTATATTTTATTACTTGATTATTGGCAAGCAAGCATTGTTTGTTTGGAAAGTTTGAGGGGGGCAGAGTGACAGACAATGTCAAAGGCACGCGATAGGTCTAATAGAATTATGGCGGGAATGCGTCAGACATTTAACTCGGGTGAAATGAGTTGAAAGATACGAATGATTTGGTAGGTAGTGAAATATTTACATTGAAGTGTGTGAATTATTTGAGAATCGGAACCTGAGAGACCGCATACCATACCCGAAAAGCGTTCGTGGACAATCTTGCATAACAAAAAAACAATTGATGGACAATTCGTAAGTAGGAAAATAACATTTAAGCTTTCTTCTTAGGTGTTTCCGGAAAGTTACGCGGGCAACGGCGCGCGCATGCACTTTGTTGGTTACATACAAATTACAATTTAACATTACGCTAAAGCCCTTATTCTATGTTGCAATAAGTGCGAGCTATACTTAAATATAAAGTAAAATTATGATTATTTTAGCTCGCTATAAATATGTATATGTGTAAGAGCGCTGAAATTAAGGGGATGGATTTATATAAGAATCGCAGTGTGGACTTTATGGCTGGTTCACATTAGTCGTAGAGTGTGGACTTGTGGACGTTACAGTAATTAATAGATTAAAATAATGTAAAAATATTTTTATGATGTAATTGTTAACGTTATACAATTTGATTAGTTCTAACAATAAATTTAGTTTACAAATTACAGGATTACAGTTACCTATTAAATTGTTACTATTGCACTAAATTTTTCCCTAGATTTGTGCATTGGTACAATTCTAACAAAGTAAAAGCATACAGTAACTCTTCTAAAATAAAACAAAAACTTTAATATTTTCTGGAATTGTACATAACAAAAGAACGCTATATGGTCAAATATAAAATATGTGGTACTTCATAGTAAATATAATTAATTAAATACTTATTTTCAATTACATATCACTTTAAATTCACTGACTTTAAAACAAAAATCGTTACAATATATATATATATATACATTGACTGATTTTAAGTATGTCTAACAATGTGTACTTGCCTAAGAGTAGAAAAATAATTTTCTTCTATACGTAAGATATTGAATGCTTTAATTAGTTTTAAACTGTGATTCAAGAAATATAAATTTAGTAATTTGTGTTTTGAAAATTATAGCAACATTTTATAATTATCTTAAATATCAGTAAAACGATTGCAAAGTATCAATATCTTGATAAATTTATTCAAAAAATTTAAATAAATTACGTATAAATTCAGAAGAATTAATTTGTAGAATTTGGAAAGCTTAGTACACTTGATGGAAACATTTTTAATGTTAAAAATTTATTATCAATAATGATAAATACTTATGAAAACTTGTTACTAACTTCTTTATAAATATGTATAAAACTTTGCTCTATGTGAAATAAAATAAGAACTATTAAAAGTGATTTTGATTAAGACATTAAAGATATTAATGAAATCATGGCTTATACAAAGATATCTAACGTTAAAGAGGATGATGTTCTCGAATGTTTCCTTTATCCAAAAATTTGTTATGCAACACCTATGGAGACTATAACAGAAGAAATACTTTTGCAAGAAATTGCAAAATTCAATGAAAAAATTGCACTATATATTAAAAACTATATATGGCATCATGATAGTTTAATTTTTCATCCTAGAACAAAGCAAGCACTATTATTAGAACAACTTATTGAAAATTCAACTACTGTAGAAGGTAAAATGTTATTCTAATTTTGGAAATAAGTGCAAAGATTATATATTAATCACAATTTTCTTTTGCTACAGAGAAAAATGTATTACCTCACATTTATGTACGTCTACGTTTTGATGAAGACATAAGTGATGAATGGTTTACAGTCTTTCTAATATATAAACTTACACAGGCTTTTGATGGATTAATTGCTAAAGTTATAGATTCTTATGGAGAATTTCTTTTAATTGAGACTGCAGATGTTTTACCTCCATGGGCTAATCCTGAAACATGTGAAAACCATGTATTTGTATATAATGGAGAACTGCACATTGTTCGTGAAAAACATAAGACATTTTTGGATTTATTAAATAATGTTCAGGAGAAACCATATCTTTTTAAAGCTCCTGAAAATGTACAAAATGTTTTAAGAAAACGTATTAATATTTACCCTGATGAAATCAAGAAAAGACATTACAAGGCTCGAGTTTTTTTATCAGAGAAAGCAGTTTCAATACTTCGACAAGAACCAGCATTGGTTGCATTAGCTATTCGAACCATTTGTCATTCCGATCCACTTGAAAGAAAGGTAAAAATTTAATGTGATTATTAGAGCTTGCATAAAAATAAAATGTAATTTATTTTTATAAGATTTTATATGTTATAGGTTTGTCGTGCTATGAGGTATTTTCCTCCTGAACAACGTGTTATGGTTAATGTAAAAATGACAAAATGTTTATATGCAATGGCAAATCATTGTCGATACACAGGAGATCCAAGAACAGGCTGGAATATACCACCAATAACTTGTTCAAAGTACAATGCTCATATACTTGGTATTAAAATAGCATGTGGTCTAGAAATGTTAATTGCTCGTGCAAATGAAGAGCGTAGAAAAAAAGAAAAGAGAACACTAAGTGATCCTTTGAATGAAAAATTAAAAGCAAATGAACACGTTTTAAATGCATATTTAATGCGTTTAGAAGCTAGTGGTTATTTTAGAAATTTATTAAAAAGCAGCCAAGAATATGAAAAACTTCTAAATGCAGCAAAAGATTATTATCTCAAACATTTAAATCTATATTCTATGACCAGTGTTAATAAAAGTGATGCTGAAATAGTGTTAGAAGCATGGGAAAACATACAATCTAACGATGTTGAATTGCATGGTAATGTCTTTAAATTAATGTTTTATTTATAACTAATTAATATTTAATTGCTACTTTATGTTATGTTTTGTACATAGCTCAAGATGAAGCTACATTAAGCCCTGCAGATAGTGATAGTTGGTTAAAGGTAGATCCAGTGCAGTTAGAAACATTTTTAAATGAACATTGGGAAACTGCTAAAAACGATAAACATGAACAAAAATCGTTAAGTCTTAAAGAGAAAGTACAAATATTCCTAAATCAAAATAGTGATATTGATGGTGTACAATTTTTGGAGTAAGTTACATATATTACAGTTTTAATAATATTACTGCAATGAATACAATTTATACCTTTGATTTTCAGAGATCATTTAACTGAAGCCGAAGTGATGCATGACCCAGAAGATAATGGAAAAATTGAATTTGATGCAGACATATTTGACTGTACTTTACGAGGTATATTAGATTTAGTTGTTCCAGGGAATGAAGGAGAATTTGAAGGAAGTTCAGAAGGATCTTTGGGTGAAGATGATGAAGATAAAGGAAATGAAATGGATAAATATATGCGATTATTACATTCAGAATTACAATCCGAAATGGAAAAAGATGAGAATTCTGAAATGAATAAAAACTCTGACATTATAGAAGATAATTTGATGAAAAGTATTACTGAAGAAGCAGGTGGATCAGGACCAACAGGAAATATAATAGGTGGACCTACTCGACGATTTATGCATTTGCAGTTACAATCACCTACTAAAGTACCACCTGACTTACAAAGTTAATAATTTTACCTACACTTATATATTTATCAAATCATATTAACATCTGTTAACATTCGTATTGATTGTTCTATACAAATAAAGTATAAATGTTTATCACAGTAAGACCTCGATTAATCGGCTTAATTGGGAGACAAACAGATCGGATGAATCGAGACCCAACGGATAATCGCAATCTGGTTAATTGAGGTCCTACTGTACTTTGAAAAAGTTTTAGGGTGAATGTTTTTATCTTATATCAAAAAAGCACACAAAATAATTTAAATTAAGTAGTATATATAAATTACTATTTTAAATGTTTTGTTTTATAAGCTATTGTACAGTATTTGTGTTACATTTTATACTAATGTTAATTCCTTTATTTGTATTTCAATCTTTCTTGTACAAAATTATATTTAAGTACATTCTTGAATGTAATAATAATACGTGAATGCATATATTTATTTGTTTATATATATGTACATGCTAAAGTATCATTATATTAAACTTTGAAAACTTATCAGTATTTGTTGCTAATAACAAGAATTAATTTACTACTTAAATAATGTATGCTACCACTTTGGAATTTTTTTTTTCATTTAGGGATTCATTAATAGTGTATGTAACTCATATCAATCTATGTATCATTTGTAATATTTTAATATCATTCATTTTTATATCTTCACACATCGTTTGCATCATTCATTTCCGTGTCTTCATCTATTGCGTGATGTTCTTGGTTTATCATTGACATTCTAAAAGTAGAAAAATACAGTGTATCAACTGGTATTTGTATTTTAAACAGTTAACATTAATTGTCACTCACCTAATTTTAGTCACCTGCATTTCAACTTTCTTAGGATCTGTAAATTTTTGTTTTATATCCAATTTGAGAGCTGATGGTCCCGAATAATGAATAATAGCAGATGGAACTAAATTTTCATTAATTAAATGAGATTTAGGATCTAAAATACGTTTTGGTGGAGTAGTAACTATTGAATAAAAAAAAGTTTGTTTTTAATATTTTGTAAGAATAATATCGTATATATTTTTTACTTAAATCAATAAGAAGCATACAAGGTGATCTAGTAATTAATGTCATCTAAGTTTTTCTAAATTTATAAAAGAGTAAAAGGGTATAGCCAAATAAGCATGGCAAAATTGCTTCTAAACTAAACTGAACTTGTGACATGTCAATTGATAGACCTCTGACAGAAGTCCCCTACCCCTATTATTAAGATAGTTATAAACTGAAACATGATTTATAATTTAAGCTCGATTTCTTTTATTCTATCGTATAAAAAATTATGAAAAAAATTAGAGATACTGTAGCCAGTGGGATACACGCGAGTATATATTTTTACAGTTTTGACAGCCTGTTGTAATTATTAACTTGTAATTGCTCCAAATTATTCGGAAAAGTGCGTCACAGTTTAAAAAAAAAATAAAAATTGATATTTTTGACGATTCCGTGCGGAGAGAAATTTATTTATATAATCAATACACGTTTTTCATATATGAAAGTATGAAAGTTATCTAAAGTTTTTAAAAATCTCTATTAAATTGTGTGTAAAAAAATATACCCTTTTATTAGAAGAAACACATTCAAGTGGCAATGATATTTAGATTATTGTACATATTTATAAAATATTACTTTTACTTACAGATTATAAAGTCACTATTTGCATCAATCAAATAATTTTTTATAAAATCTTTAATTGTTTGTACCCTTTCCATTGGTCGAAATAAACCTTGAAGAACAAACTCATCTGGAAATTGTATACGGATTATTGTGTAACGATATTTATGTAATTGATTCAATGTTTGTTTGTCTTGATTTAACTTTCGTTGAACATTTGTTAGAAGCGGTGCTTCTTCTAACTGTTGTCTATAACGTTTGACATCTCTCAATAGTATCTTTGCATCGTCAACTGTTAAATCGTAAAAATCATCTGGTAATTCATCTCTAAATGTTCCTTGAATCGAAGCTTGATTGAATACTAAAGCATTTCTTTCACCTAGCTACAACAAAAAAGGATATAAGTTTCAATATAAAAAGGAATTGACATTTTCATATGGGTAAATCTTACAAATTCTACATTATTTAAGTCATCTATTTCCCGCTTATTGCATGAGTATACTAAAGTCTGCTTTTCAACACAGTCATCCTTACTAGTAGATGGTAACATTTGATTTTCTTTGTCTCTTTGTGTACTTTGAGAACATTCTTCCAACTTTTTTAGTTCATGTGTTTCCTCTTTTAAAAGTATAGAATCTGATGTTTTGTTAGTATCCATTGTTAATGAACATTTATTTTTATCATTTTGTTTATTAATATTGGCATTTTTGTGAATGTTCAATGTTTCTGAGCTTGTTGAAGCAATAGTATTCATGGTTTGAGGTTTTCTATGTATCACTCGTAATATAGCTTTACCATTATTAAGTCCTAATGACTTTAAAGTTGTATTTTTTAAAGCTTCTGCCCCAGAAATCTGTAAAAATAATCAAATAATTTTAAATAACTCCTGTACATTGTCTTTATTTAAATTTTGCAATTATATAAATAATTTGTAATAAATTCAGTTCAATTTATGTAATCAGTTGCAAAATGAAAGCATTATATATGTATTCATACCATCTGATGCATGTAGACTAACATAATTTTTTCAAGATCTTCATCAAGTTTTACATTTTTCAAAACTTCGGTTAATGATGTATTAGGTATAAATTCGCCCATAAGTCTTTCTCCATTTTCTAATTGAATACCTATTGTAACAGCTGAAGTAGAACGTATCTTTTTACATGGTACCACTTCTAATTGCGCATTATTTGCTAAGCCAGTGAATCGAAATATAGCATTAGGATCCAATATGTGATTGAAGTGTCTACAAGTTAAATAGACAGTTAAAACTTATACTGCTTTTGTATTTTACATTAACTTATCTTCATAATAGTATTTACTTGAGATCATAATCATCTGTGTTATATCCATGTTTCTTACAGACCTCTTCTAGTATCTATAAATTAGATATTTCACTTAACATTTATATAAGCAACAAAATATAACATTTATAAAAATAATTAATTAATGATTTTAATTTACTTGTAATATTGTGGTATTTAGTGTGACTTGAACATTTTGCCGACGACCGTTTGGCGCAAGTACTATAACATTTCTTTTTGTAGCCATAATATGTCGTAATTGTAATTGCTTATGAAAATCAACTGTTTATATTAATCGTCTATACATTTATGACAAAATTTCATTCAAACTGGATAAGATTAATAATAATAATACATAATGTTAAAAAGAACCACAAATATTACACGATAATAATAGGTTATAACCTCTGGATATGTATGTACAATCTTTAGGTATTAAAAGAAAAAACACAATATTTTATTTAGAAAGGATATTTGTTATAGAACTTATTAAAAATTATTTAGTATGATGTATTATCAGATTATTAATGTGCATATGGATTAATAACTTTTGCACGTCATATGCATACTAAGGAACATCAGTCTTTACCGAATCCCTAGAACCTAAAACTAAACAAACGCACAGCCACGATGGTCCTATGTGAAATGGCCTATGATGCGTAAAAGAGATGCGCAAAAATCGTTTCAATACCAGTCGTCCAACAGATCGCAACGAAGAGAATGAGGCGTTTATTTGGTGTCGGTAAATTGGTAATTGACATACCGACATTATATTTGGTATTATTACTGTTACGTGGGTTCTTGGGGAATTTGAGGGAATTGTCGCCCGTGGAGCACTGAAGCGTGGTACTCTGTTCACGATGATTTTAGGAAGTTAAATGAATAAGGAAAACTAACGTTGAAACTTTTAATAAACTAATAAATAACTTAATAAATAACTTGACTGGAACAATAATTAACGAAATGTTTAACTATAATTTTATTACGAGATAATACGTCTGTGCTCTTTGAACGAAGAAAATTGAATTGAATGTTCAGGCGTCGTTGACTATTATTTATAATGTTTACAAGCTTTTGTTAAAATAATCGTCACCAATTAAACTAAAGATTTTGTATAAAGTTATCTAAGGATGAATTTGATTGATTCTCAAGAGGTGGATGAATGGGGAAGAGCAAGAGGAGAGGTGGATGAATTGGCAGAGCAAGAGGAGGGGTGGATGAATGGGAGGAGAAAGGTGAAGAGTTACGGGACACTCGTGAAGCAAAAAAAATACGTTTTGTAAATCTATGTCAATTATACACACGCTGAAAATTTCATCGAAATCGGTGGATGGAGAAACTAGCGACAGGCATCGAAAGATGTAAGAATCTGCAGATTTATTACAGTTTTACGCCGAAAGTCGTGATAGTGCGATTTTCACAATCTTTAACCGTTTGTAGCTCATAGAAACATTAACTGATTTCGATGACATTTACAGCGTGCGTATCATTGACATAGATCTACAAAACGTATTTTTTAAATTTTCATTACGAGCTCAGATATAAAAGTTGTAAAAACGACCTTCGCTATTTTCTTCGCGATTCCGACTAATTGCAGTTTTTTCACAAAAATTTATACAAACGTCGGAATGACGGCAAAAAACTATTTCTCTAAGCCTTATAAAACTAGTGGTGCAAAGTCAAATTTTTTTGACAGCGATCGATAACCAAGAAGTCACGCGTACGCGTCGTTTACGATAGCGCGCGGATGAATCTCTGTTCGCTGTCCCTCAGCGCGGGCGCTACGGGCGTTGTGATTGGCCAGTGTTTTTCGTTAATAATTCGAAAACGAAGTTTCAAACTACATTTTGGACAAGGAAAAAGTTGTTCAGAGTCACCCCAGCAACCCCCCATTTCCAGATCTTCGAAGAGTTACGGGACACCCTGTATTTAGTAATACAGAAATGAGTAAGATAAGGAAAGACATACGGGTAGACAAGGATAGCACTAGAGAAATCAGTTAGACAAGAAGAGAAAATGTTTCAGACTGAACTAACGCCATCTCGCGTTTGGCTACGCGAACTAACGACTCGTTACTCGGAACACAGAATGTGAACAGAGGTATTAGACAAGGAACGCACTACTGTGCGAGAAGGACAGAGAGAAGACGCTTTCCATTGGCTGACGAACGTCCGAGCACCACCAATCGCGGGCTAAATCAAGTCGGTCAGGGAAAAATCATTAATAACTCATTAATTAGGGTGATATTGTGAACTTTTAAGATTGAAGAATATAGTGTGGACCTTTAGCAACTTTCATATATAGTTTTTAATGCAGTAGATCCTTTCAATAATTAGTTATTAACAATTTTAATACGTGATGCCGGGACCGATACCGTTTACGGTTATATACGTTTACGGTTTTTAAATAATTTCATAGCTTTCTAATAAATTCCCATGCAACTAACTATATTCATCTGAAAGGCAACTCCCTTAGCTACATTCTCATATAATTTTTATTAACATATTCGATTTAGTTTAAGAGTTATTAAGCATTATACGGGAGAGTTTCCTATTCATCGTACTCGAGTGTAGTCAACTGTTACAAACAATTGCTAATATCTAATAAACCACACAACTTACAACTACCAAACTAATTGCAGAATGCAGATAAAAGTCCATTCTACATTCCACATACTTGAAAGTGCATAATTAGTTTCGCACTTTTATTGAAATAACGAAAATATGTTACGCTTGAATGCGATGGGTGTAAACGGGAATAATACGTTTACGGTTTTTCGATAATTTTATAGCTTTCTAATAAATTCCCATGCAACTAACTATATTCATCTGAAAGGCAACTCCCTTAGCTACATTCTCATATAATTTTTATTAATATATTCGATTTAATTTAAGAGTTATTAAGCATTATACGGGAGAGTTTCCTATTCATCGTACTCGAGTGTAGTCAACTGTTACAAACAATTGCTAATATCTAATAAACCACACAACCTACAACTACCAAACTAATTGCAGAATGCAGATAAAAGTCCATTCTACATTCCACATACTTGAAAGTGCATAATTAGTTTCGCACTTTTATTGAAATAACGAAAATATGTTACGCTTGAATAAACGGGTGTAAACGGGAATAATACGTTTACGGTTTTTCAATAATTTTATAGCTTTCTACTAAATTCCCATGCAACTAACTATATTCATCTGAAAGACAACACCCTTAGCTACATTCTCATGTAATTTTTATTAACATGTTAGATTTAATTTAAGAGTTATTAAACATTTTTTAGGTGAGTATTACATCCGTCGTATTCAAACGTAACATATTTTCGTTATTTCAATAGAAGTGCCAAACTAATTATGCACTTTCAAGTATGTAGAATGTAGAATGGACTTTTATCTACATTCTGCAATAAGTTTGGTAGTCGTAAGTTGTGTGGTTTATTAGATATTAGCAATTGTTTATAACAGTTGACTACACTCAAGTACGATTAATAGGGGACTCTCCTGTATAATGCTTAATAACTCTTAAATTAAATCGAATATGTTAATAAAAATTATATGAGAATGTAGCTAAGGGAGTTGCCTTTCAGATGAATATAGTTAGTTGCATGGGAATTTATTAGAAAGCTATGAAATTATTGAAAAACCGTAAACATATACAACCGTAAAGAGTATTGGTCCCGACATCGCGTACTAAAATTGTTAATAACTAATTATTGAAAGGGTCTACTGCATTAAAAACTGTATGTGAAAGTTGCTAAAGGTCCACACTACATTCTTCAATCTTAAAAGTTCACAAAATCATCGTAATTAATGAGTTATTAATGATTTTTCCCTGGCCGACTTGATTTAGCCCGCGATTGGTGGAGCTTGGACGCTCGTCAGCCAATAGGAAACGTTTTCTCTCTGTCCTTCTCGCACAGTAGTGCGTTCCTTGTCTAATACCTCTGTTAACATTCTGTGTTCCGAGTAACGAGTCGTTAGTTCGTGAAGCCAAACGCGAGATGGCGTTACTTTAATCTGACCTATTTTCTATCCTTGTCTAACCCTATTCCCTTCCTTGTCTAACTCATTACTCTAATGCTATCCTTGTCTACCGCTATTCATTTCCTTGTCTCTCTTCGCTAGTGCTATCCTCGTCATCCCTATTATACTTAATTGATACTCATATTTAATTCTTAATTGCTTTAACGTTACTAATAATGTAGACAGTAAAATACAATTTCTGGCTTATTTTCAAGTACTTCAATTACAGAGTAATTAGTATTTTTTGTTAAATGACCATTTAGATGGTTGTTTGTAATCATTGGAAATCTTAAATAAAGTTATCGTATGCTTCAACTTAACAAAACAACTTAATATATTAATTTTTCATTGAATTAACCATAACATTCAGTGGATTAGTGAAAAGTTGTTCGTAACTTTTATTCGAAATTAGATACATTAATATTTTTCTCGCATGAATGATGATACTGTGATTACAGGTGTTTGCTATCCTTCTCCATAGAAAATTCTCACTTTTGGAAAGAGATACCAAAGCTAAGGACTACGCGTACCCGCGTTCACTCTGATTCTCACGAGTACACAGAGCGGACTGCGTGTACTACAATAGTTACATACTTACACAGTACCAGAGAGACGTTCTGAGATGCGAGCGTTTTAACTTGAAGTACTTACAGTTCGTAAGATAAAATACCCTAATTCTAAGATAGAAAATTGAACACTATATACGCGCTTCAACTGTAACACCAGCCTCTCTCTCATTTAAAATACGAATGCTTCCTGTAGATTTGTCGTTGTCAAGTGGAGAGGGAAGACCCGCGTGAGAGATCTCATTTCTCGCCAAACTTGTCCTACGCGTAGACCCTACGCACTGTGTATTGTTTTATGGTCGGGCACACGTAATTGCACATGCAACATGGGACCACTAAATTGTGGTCGTGCGTGTATTAACAGTAAGAGATGATAGTATAAGTATTACACCGCGAGCTCAACGGTTTCCTCTTAATGTGTGACATTTAATTTGTGCGAAAAATTTATAACAATTTGTCGTTGTGAAAACGGTGCGTTTGTGACATGTGGGTGCTTTTTCAATCTTATCATTGATATCGATTATTATCGATTTGGAAGAATTTTCGAAACAGTAGCATCTTCGCTGTATAACGTTCGGAAGAAAGTGAGCTGTTCAAGAAGACAAGTGAACAACGATAGAAAGAAAATTTCTTCCTCTTAGATCTCGAGATAATCGATGATTTTTCGATGGAATCTTATATCCTTTTTCTACAGCTGGCAGAGTTTAACAACTATAAATATATAACGTCTATTTAATCTGAAAATATTTTCATTCGAAGTACCTATTAAATTAAACATTATTGGCCCTTACGTTTCAGTAAAAGTGTATGAATTAATTATGCTATCGGTATCTCTTCGTGAAAATATTCATTAATCATTACTGTATTTATCTTACGTGCATTCTATAGTACAAACACGAAATTCTAGATTATAAAATGGTAAGAAACATTTTTCTTCATTTATTTTCTGCACGAGCCTTATTGCACAATAATTAGATTTTTCCTGCAATTTCGGCTTCTTGAATACATAAGAAACGTACAGCTATGCGAAATCGTGCAAGGAGTGAATAAGGGAAAACAGGGAAACAAGTATTTTTTACGTGTAGCGTGATCGAACAACCACTTTTCAACTACCAGCACGAAGCCAACCTATTTAACAGTACTTTACCTATTTGATCGACTAATTGACTGATTGTCGAGTCGTCACTTAGGTTATTCAGGCAATGACCGCCTTCGGAAGTGTCTGTATGCAAGCGCTTAACATAAAGCGTCTTTAAAGTATTATACATTGAAGTAGGAAAGGGCCTCTAATGTAAATTTACAGGTTGATTGTCCTGCCTACGTGAAACACCTTACTGAAAAATCATTTTTTAAAGTGGTTTCTTTATCCGAAAGCTGAAGATTAATTTGAAAAGAATTAAATCTAAAAAAAACCCTGTGAAATACATACAAGGGGATAAGATTCTCTTGGTTCCAGTTTAATTTAGTAATTGCACACCGCTGTTCTGTACAAAGGTCTAGCTGAATTTGGACAATTTCAATTTCTGGATTACCTTAAATCGAAAAATTTCTCACTGGCGAAAATTCACATGTTAAATTCAGAGAGACGACGATTTATCATATCGACAAACCTGTCATTTTTTATCGTAGGGTCAGCAAATTTCAATCTACCGAAGAATTATCTTACATTTGAAAATTGCATTATATTCGAAAGCTGTGCATTTTTTTTTAGAGATAATCTTCGTACTACCGAATTTCGCTTGTACAAGACTTAGGTGTGTACTCTCCGGTGAGCAGGGATTGCCAGCTTTCTTCCTCTGTGTATACAGTGTCTGTCTGTATATTATTTATACGCACTGTTATACAGTGGAAGAAAATATATCGACATTTAGAAAATTATAGTTCAACTGCAGTAATAAACGCACAAATTTTTCGACAAACGTGTCAAATTTACACAAAAGACTTGTTATTTTGATGAATATTTTTCGAACGTAGGATTTCTCTAATAAAAAGTTAATCGTTTCAGAGAAAAATTAACGCAATTGAAGCATAGCTGCTTATAATTAAAAACTCAGAAATTAACACTAAAACTACCGACCGGGTCAAAATGACCCATTAGCATCTTTCGAAGAAACGCGAATGTTCTATACTGGTAAGTATTATCGCTTGTAACTTTCCGAATTTATATTTTACATGTATGCTTCCATTTGTATCGGTACGAATCGAATTTTCCAATCACGGTTTACTTACATGAAAATTCACTTTTGGAAAGTCGCTAATGGGTCATTGTGACCCAGTCGGCAGTTTTAGTGTTAAAGATAGCGCAGGAATAACATTATCGTGATAACTTTACATGTACGTTTTAATAGGTTGACATTACTTTGACAGATTTTTTCTAAAAAAGCAGCGTCCTACGAATGATTATTTTGCAATGAACGTTGCACGAAACTCGAAGGATCTTTACTCCCTCTTTGGAGGAAATTGAGAAAAGCAACTCTTGCTCTTTGTTAGTTCCACTTGCTCGCTAGTCAGCGAGATGATGCGTCGAAGAGCGCTTCTTACGTTATCATTGTCCTACTGGTTTATATTATACACGACGACACTTCAAGGGAACGTTTTTGCATTTATGGAAACTGACGAAGACACGGATGTCACAGCTAAGAAACGCATCGACGGATGCATCGAATGCGGTGATTACAGGTATTATTAAAATTAGAACTGTATCAATATGTACGTACACGACTTTTTATGTTACAATGTATATTTTATCGAGGAATGTAATTTATCATATCGCTGATTTTTTCATGGAAAATATAAAAGTGAAAATGACATAAAGTGAATGAAAACAAACGATATCCGTGATATTAAGAATATTGCACGTATTTAAGATGCTAGAAAGGTAGATCGAGAAATGAATTACAGTGAGAAATTTCTTTGTAATAAGAGGTTTTACGGTTGTTCCGTTATTGCAACGTGAAGTTAATTATTATACGATATATTTATACACAGGGTATATGAATTATTTGATAAATTGTACATTTTTATACAAATTTGTTCGGGTAATGTGTTTTTCGAAGTACATTATTATTTATAACGGAATCTATAATGTATTATTCATACTTTGCTTAATTTCGCTTATTATTTATTATTTAAATTGCTGCAGTCGATCTTCCACGAAATTACGAAGCATACTTTGTATTACAGTAATGAAATTTAAATCCCACTGTTCACAATTAAAGACCACTTTTCAAAGATGCTTCCACTCACAAGACAAGTCTAGTGTAATTGAGTGAAAAACTGCAAATTGTGCAGTTTTAAACAGTTTTTGTAAATTCTTCGAACCTGTTTTCATAAATTTTCTATTTTTCAAGTTTGTAACTTTTTCTAAATTTTAGAATACTCTAACTTTTCTAACCAGTTCTCATAAATTTCGAACAAATTGTGCACTTTTTTAAACGTATACACAGGTGTCCGGGTGATCCTGGAAAGTGTTTATTGGGTTCGGTGTTCGATCCTTGCGAATGTTGCACAAAGGGATTGTGCGCTCGATTGGATGGCGAATCTTGTTGGAATTCTAGTATACCTGGATTGCCCTCGACAAGTCGTAACAATGGATTGTGTGCAAGAAATTATGTATGCACATTGCGATCAGATCTTCGGAAAGAGGTACATTCATTTTTTTCTTCAACTGCTAGATTTTTCTCCTAAAGAGAAGTTAAAATCTGTAGGGTTGTAGATTTCAATCAATTGTTTTCTGCCGATTTTGAAGCGAAAATACGAAATCTTCGTCCAATTCGTGCGTTCCTTACAAAAATATTGCTTAGTTCCGATACTCTCGATAAATATCTCCTTTTCTCACGTGAATCTATATTCTTCTTGAAAATCTTTTTATTTGCTTCAAATACAATTTATTTCTATTCGAATATTTTCTAAACGTTACTTCTAGTCATTAGAATGTTAAAAGTGATATTTTCTCCATTTTTCCATTCACCGATGTCATCCCAAGTTGTCAAATGTTCCATGTTTATTTTCTTCGTTAAGTTGAAAATTGTATCGAAATAACGCAACATACTGTTAAAGCTTTACAAAGTTTTAATAAATATACATAGACAGGGAATTCGGCTACCTTAGGCGAATAACTATTAAATTGGAGGAGAGATTCCTGAAGCCATTCTAAAACGAAAATCAAGAGCAATGAAATTGCGTCCGAGACTTTGTTAATTAGTTATTAACAATTTACGCCTGCGCCTGAAACAGGCAATTTTCGTGCGTCGGTGTCTTTTACGTAGGTGGATGTGCTACGGTTAGGTCAGTGCCTTACGAAGTGAAGCAAAGCGTGCTTACAATATATCCGGTAATAGAAACTGACACACGAGCCACCACAATTTTGCGCAAATTACGCGATGAAAATCCAATGTTTATCGTCGAATAATATTAAACTTGCCCGATGGAATTTTCGGCGTAACTGAGATGTAATTATGCAGATATATAGATTACAGTGGTTCATTAAGGGATGCACATTTTCTACCGGTCAAAATTTTGTACTAAGAAATATTATCTTATTTAAAAATTGACACGAAAATGGATATAAAAGTAAAAGACTTCGCGGAAACGAAAATTAACAATCTTTCGTTTCCCTAATTGGGAATCTTACAATATCAACTTATAACTTAGAAAATTGACCACGTCTTAATTAATGGAAATAATTTGCGTCATGGTGAATATGCATGTAATTATATAGGACAATAGTAGTGTTGTAGAAGTAATTGTGCGTGTAATAGGTTAGATTTACATAATTACGCAACGATTTTCCAGGAGTCTAAAATTATGAACGAGGATTACGTGGAAATTTGATAGAAAAGTAACATGTCACGACTTTATTTGATATTTGCGCGTTAACACATTCGCTGCCATGGACGCGGTATGTGCGGTTCAGAATGGGTTGCCTTGTGTGCCAGAATTATAGCGAGGTCGTAAATTAAAGCATTAAGTAGCGGCACAAATTGACGCAGCGATACCCAGGGTGGCGTACTGTATTTTACGTTCTTCGATTGGGACCTGAATCAAAGCTGAGGCACACTTCGTACGGCCCTGACTCACATTTCGAGCCCTTATCTCCCGAGGTTTCCGTCGATTCGCCTTGTCGATAAGCTCGAATATGCAAATTTTCACGGCGGAGCGAACTCCACGACCTCGCTATATTTCTTCCACCGACTATACATCAAAAGTCGACGCTGCTGCTGTGCCGTCTAACACCATGAATCCTCTGTTAAGGCGGCGGACTTGTTAAAAGTTTATGAAGTAAACGTACCGTTAAGAACCTACATTTTACAATCGCATCGAATTCAATTATAAATTATTATTTGTACACAGGACGAATTACAAGCTGTTTGCGTCTGTATGGAACAAAGTCTAGCGTGCGGTAGCGATAATAAAACATACGCAACACCCTGTGCATTATCTGCAGAGGCGATGAGACGGAGAAATACATCTCTTCTGAGATTACAGCATCTTGGTCCATGTCAAAGTCGTCCTTGGCTTTTATCTCCTTTGGAGAACGTTTTGTCGGTGTTTGGGCAACGAGTCGCGTTGAACTGTGAAGCAGAGGGTTTTCCAATTCCTGATATTTTCTGGGAATTTCATGCAACAGATGGAAGAAAAGTTTTGAAACTACCAGGTATGTATGCGTAATTATATCGAGTATTCAATGGGACGAATTTTAATGTGTAATTCTACGCGACGAAATGAAAGACATTTTATGTCTTTAAAACAAAAAATTGTCGAAATAATAACATTTTGAAGCGAAAGTTAACTTCTCTTCTGAAAATTAATTAACAAGAAAGAAAAGCCTACGTTATACGACAAATGAAAATTTTAACTTTTATTGTTTCTACAATTATTCATTTCGATTTAAACGAATCTGCCGAAGTAAGTAATAACTTACAATGTATTTACAGGTGAAGCACACGGAGCAACAATTCACAGCAGCTTAGGACCAGAACCTTTTATGCGAACATCCTGGCTACAGTTAGCTCGTGTTACTAAAACACACATCGGAGTGTATTACTGTATCGCTAAAAATTCACTAGGAGAAGCCAGAAGTGCGTCTTTCGTGTCCACGCTATAACACTTCGAATGTTTTCACATGCTATATTTTATAAAGTTGAATAAACCATATGAGTGCTTATTAAAAGAGGATATTTCGCGCATACAAATTTAATTGCTACACATACATCACGTAACGTTCCTGAACAAATGGGGGAGCCTTCGGAATTCTGCGCTTATGTAACTTCGCCGCAATATGTAATTACCGAAAAGCGTAATATCGATTTTCCTGTTATATTTTAAGCAAAAATTATTCAAATACAGTAAAACAAGTTCATACGTATACAAATACAAATAGTACAATATAGGTATACAAACGAACAAGTAAGTAATTTAGCAAATGTATAAATAGAAATAGTACAGTTCATTGAACTTAATAATAACAATTTCAATTTTAGGAATATTCTTTAACGTATTATTCGTTAAAATTTATAGAAGAATTAAATGCAATAATACGTAGATATTATACACAGTATTGTTGTTTGAAACGTTTCTGCTCCTTGTTAGCATTCTTCTGGGGGAGGTGGTGGCGGTGGGCTGGAAATTAATTATTCTCTTATTACGACAAACACAATGGTAATTAAATTACGAATTACGAAATATTCGAATACGTATTTTTTTTATCGTTAATGGTACACATCGAAGGTGTGAAAATCACCCTCGAAGTTGGGGATAGAAAGAATATTTCGTTTCTTGAAAATTATCAGAGATAGAGGAATGCTGTAAATTATGCGATGGGAGAGAAGAAAGGCGAGGGAAGAGTTTGTCTTTCAAGTAAAGTTAGTGTTATACGAGTCGTCGGTCATCCAAGTGTTGCAAGAATCGTTGAAGTGTTGTTAGAGTTGTGAGAGTTGTTTTAAAAGTCGTTAAAGTTGCCCGATTGTTCTTGTCTTTGTCTTACGAGTTGTGTAAAGTTATTATTATAATCGCTTATTTAGCTTTACAATAAACTATTAAATGAAAAAGATATTATTATAAATGTTAAATTAAATGTTTATTATTGTTCCTGGACTTAAAACAATTGCAATTTCAATAATCTTTTTACGCTTCAAAATATGTGCACAAATGAACACTCTTGCACATTGAACAAAATGTTATATTTTAAAGAAAATATTGATATCGAAGGAAATATTCAATGTTTTGTTTAAACGTATACTTACTCGGGCGTATGCCAAGTTTCCTCCTCGTTAACTTCAGTTTGAGGGCCTTCTCTGAAAGAAAATATTCGTATTTGTTGCTTCAGTACAAGTTTATGGATCTGTTTACAATTAAAAAGACCTTGCATCTGCTAGAATTGCGTGTTCACAGAGATATTCATTTTCTCCACGCAAAAATCCCATTACGAGGACTTTATTTTGCATTTAAGATGTCGATGAATATGCAAGTGTAACGTTCTATGTTCATTAATATTCGGATTGCTGCAACTACAACCCTCGATTAATTTTGTATGAAAATTTCTCAAGGACGGAAACCTATTTTTCGACGATATTTGTTAAAATTGACTAACATTAATTATGTACTATTACGTGCATCTAATTTCATTTAAAAAATGATATCCATATACGCGCTCCGTCTTTGTTAGTATATTTTTAAAATATTCTTTTTAATCCTTTCCCTTAGGATGCAATATTTACGCTCAGGGGCACCCCCGAGGCACCCGAGCACACTGGCCGGATCCAGTAAAGGAGGCGGCCCACGCGGGGAAGCCCCTCCTCCTTAATTGGGGGCGTGGGTTACCGGGGCCGCAGGCTTAGCCGGGTGGGGGTCGGGCGACGCCTCGGAGGTGGAGAGGGGGTCCTTTTGACCCCCGTCTGGGATGCTCCCCTCTTCGAACAAAAAAACGAGGGAGGGGTCAGGCTAGGGGCGGGTCCGGTGGCGTTCGTCACGAGATCCCGGGCCCGTCCCACAACGCCGAGGAAGGTCCACCGTGGGGGTTTTAGCCGGTAAAAGTGCGGCACTACCCCGCCCCCTTCACCGGGGGGCGGGATGTCCATGAGGATTTCCCCCACGTAAAAAAAAAAAGGAAGCAATATTTAGTAATTTTCAGGCTCAGTCATAAGGTATAATAACCTAATTGAACCACAAGAATATCAAACGATACTACATTACATGAAAAACTGTTGAACTTACGATCTTGTTGGCAGTTGACTGGCACTTTTAGAAACAGTCGACGGCGTTTTATATACTAGAGACAAAACATGAGCAATTGGTGTAGTGGCTATCATAATAACTGTGCACAAGAATGTGGAAAACCAGTATCCACTCTCACTCTGAAAAAAAGAAGAAACCGTTATGTGAATAACATTCACAAACAGTTCTGTAAGATGTTACATCTTTAATTATACACGTACCAAATTACCTAAAAAATGATTACATATTAAATATCTAATTCCTTCTAGGACATCCCAAAGTGGCCGGCACTTCACTACTTCATTTCCCATTTCAGATAATACATGAGATCTCCATTGATCCAGGTAATTACTCAGTCGGTTGACATACATATTTGTTTTCTGTAAAGTGTAACGATAAGGTTATTCAATATACAAAACGTTCCATTTGTAACATAACAAATGAAATTTTATCGACGAAAGGTAACTTGAACGGGTAATTCTTTCACTTTGGCCATGTTTCTACTTGTATCAAGTTGCGATCTTAACTTTAACTCCCAACCCCTTTTCTATTCAAATTTGACTAATTCGAATATCGATAAATTAAGTGATACATACCAACTGAGCAATTTTATCTGCTTGATTCTGAATATAGTATTCAACAGCCTTCAGTTGAAAAATCGATTGATTAACTTGACGTTCAAGCGGCTGTATTTGCAATTCTAATCCAGCAAGTTTATATAGCAGCATATCTTGTAATTTTATTACAGGTTTCACGCGTTTTAGATATAGATCTTGCATGTTTAATACAATAGTCTCCAAACTTCTGGCTGTCATCCTATCGCTCATTTGCCGAGTAACTTTGTCCAATTGATCTGAGAGATCTTCCAAATCTTTACTTAAAATTCGTCCTTGGATCTAGTAGCAAATAACATTCTTTAGATATTGAAAATTTTATTCAACGTATTACAAGAAATTGTGAAGTATAATTAATGTGATATTTTTAACCCTTTGCATTCCAAGCATTTTTTGATCAGATTAATAGTGAAACTTCTGAAAACTCAGTCTTGTCTTGAAACTTACTTATTTCTATTTCTTATGTTAATTTGCATTACTTTGATAATATGAAAAAATCTGAATTGTACATTTCAAAGTTCTCCAAAGGAATTAGGCGTGTCGCCATAAAAACGCCACTGGAGTGCAGAGGGTTAAACGTTAATAACTGAAAAAACGAAGCCACAAACGTAATTTTTTTATTTTCTATATCGGCTTCTAGAATTATCCCCTGTATATATTGCATGCAATATTATTTAAAAAACGTAAAATGACCTTAACTTCGTGTGTAAAAAATATACTTTCCCATATCTTCCTTACCGCAAAACATTCTCTATTCGACGCTAATAACATTAAATACAATTTATCCGCCAATCTATCAAACATAATTCCATTATTGTGGTAATCTGGTATATGATACTCAATTGACAGTTAAACAAGAATATATCTACAGTAGAAATCGAAATTCTAAAATCACAGTAATGTCAAAGGTGAACAAAAGAAAATTGACAATACCATAATTCTGTGTTCTGTTAAATTCAATCCACAAGCATATAGAAGATTCAGCAGTTGTCGTTGCAAATTAGGCGTGAATATTTTTAAATCCTTCAGTTTGACTTTCAGTCTTAGTATAATTCTAGAGAAGCTAGACCAAGTCCAATATGCAGTAAGTTGCTCTAACTTCATTGCATTTCCTAAACCAAAAACAGGATAAGCCGGCTCGCCGTCTTGGCATTTCCTGTAATTACACATTATCAAATTAATTCTTAAATAAACTGACATTACGAAAAGTTAAAAATAGAAACAATTCCTTGTTTTTATAAATGTTTAAATTTTTTGTAATTATAGTCGGAGGCAAATATGGTGTGTCTAGGTGACAATCCCTGGTAAGATCATGTTGAATATTATCTTTAATTGTATCTACCATAATAAAATTCGTATATTGAAACAATTAGTGTCTCTGGCTAATGTAACGGTTATAATGTAAATTGACTTACTTGAACAGATCCTTCAAAGGTACACTTAATTTCTTCCCTAAGAACAGTCGCGTCTCCAAGATAGCTTCTATTATAATGAAATTTGGATCGTGAAGCGGACGACAGATTAACATAAAAACAAAAAAAAAAAAAGCCACAACAACGCCACTGAAATGTAAAAAGTAACACTTCAAAGTAAAACTCCACTTTGAGGATATAATATTATTATAATATTATAGTACGTGTATTTCTATGAAATTTCTATATTTCATGTAAAACATACATAGCACGTTACATACAAGTACCAATTTAACAGCATTCGTGTTATAATATTATTAAACGCATCAATTCATTAAGTTCAATTCAATTGTATATAGCGTACGCACCATAGAAGCATAGGTCGCATTTTATGTTCAGAAGAACCACAACCACAACAAAGGGCTCCAAACAGTAGCAACCAGATAAGTAGGACACATAAAATAGTACCTGCGAATACACATGTATCCTATTTCAATAAAAGTTATTACTAAAAACTAAAAAAAAAAAAATCTGAACCAGAGGTTTCTTATGTTCACGGCATTTTTAACTTAGGCGCTTTAAACTCCTTCTACTCCTTCTTAAATTTGAAATTGAAGAAAATTTATGACAGTACTTACCAATACCTATAAGCCATCTGATATGTTCAAAAATAATTATATACGGTGTGGCATAATCCACTAATCGTCTTGCAGACTCCAACTGCTTAATGAGTTCAGAATTGCTTGCTTCCATGTTTCGCGCTTCGTCAAAAATTCTAGCGCGCATTTTAGTGACTTCGCGTCGAATTTCTGGAAACAAATGTTTTTTCTATCTATTGATTTAATTGCGATCAATTTACACAGAGAATTATGAGTAATTTAGTTCTGAAAAATTATTTATCAAATTTTGATCATACTAAAATAATCGAACACCTTGTATATTTATATTATATACAGACGTTACTCTGAAACCCAGTGAGGTCAGAGATAGACAAATTATTACTTATAATATTCAGATTTATTTTCTAAATAATAAATAAATTTTTGTGGCGAATGTTCTCTGTATACAGAGTGTCTCAAGCTAAAATCGAACGCCTAAATATCTTCCATATTTTTAACGATATCGAAAATTTTTTAAACACAGTTTGAATGGTTTAAAAAGAGGAGTATCGTAAATAGAAAATTTTTCATATATCAAAATCACTTTCTTATCGAACCACGTTGGTTTCAAAGAAGAAATGCGTCATATCAGTGCCTATACAAAACAATGAAATTCTTTGAGCGCCTAAAGTTAATGGGGTAAGTCAGCAATCGATTAGTACCGAACGTAACACGGTAAATCTTGGTCATTTACCCGATAGTTGAAATATTTCTACTTACGATTTCGGACTTCTAAACTATTCCTGGCAATATATTGTGGAATATATAAATATTCTCCTCGAGATTGGCGAATAGTTTCTGATAAATTTTGTCGTTTGAAATCACGTAGACGTAATAGACGATCATCTTTCACAAACTGAAAAGATACAAGCGACATTCTTGTATCTTTTAAATAAACAATACATTCGTTTGTAATAAAGTTCGGGGTTTCGAAGGAAATATTCCGCATATTCTTTGATTAAGCACGCAGACGTATTATTTGTATTAATAATAACATTCAATTGTTCACCTGATCCATCCGCAAAGTTAATCGCAAGCTAGAGGAATCGATAAGGGTGCAAAGAGGACGATCTTGGCCAGCACAGGCATCTAGCGCAGTGTTCAAATTTCTACGCATATCGCTAAGTTCTATATTTAATTGTTTTCCAAAGCTGAGAATATTTTCAGCATCTTTTAACAAATTTTCAACACTATCTGACACTGTATGGCTAGCTGAAATACAATAATATTTTAAACATAATTAAAATTGAGCTCCTTTTCATCCCCTAATTGGAGATCTTGCAATAATAATTAAAAATTTCTTCGCCAAGTAATAACCATAATTTCCTTACCATTTACAAGAACTACGAGCGCATCTAATGCAATATCTAGTCCTGTTTCACTGGCTAATTCAGTTTGTACTGGTCTTCCTAATAATTCTTCTATATCTGCAACATGTAAACATATTACATTTGACACTCTACAACAGTATTACAAAAGGAAAGATTGTCCTGTGTCATGTCCTGTGTCACAATTGACGAAACTCTGTATAACACTCGACTTGTATAAATATATATATATTTTTTTTATTTTTGTAAACTCCAAAACGTTTCTCACTTTACTCCCATTTTTCTAGACTAACAAAGATCCTACACATCTCTAGTTACACATTTTTCAATACCTTGGTCCGCTTCCTACTTCCAAAATTATACCTTTAATACTGTTTCATATTTATGTATCACACGAATATGTATAAGTCACAAGCCACATTGTTTCATTTATTCATAACAATTATTTAATTTATAACACGTTCTCAATAGTCATGTAATACGATTGACAGCTGTGTACAACGACGAATGCACATAATACGGTCTGTATTGTTCACACTAACGAGCTCAATTTACAGGACTGGTTAATATGTATGTACTATGATAGACCCACTATAAAGGGACACAATACATCGTCAGATCCGTTGTCAGATTTCTCAGACTTCGTGATAAATTTGAGATAGGTGTCAAAATCATTGATAAATCCACTGGTCGCACGGGCGATTGGTAACCTAACAGAATTCTTCTGAAATATCGCTGACAATTCGTGATTTGCTGGACCAGTTGCTTGTATGTGACGATATCGTCTGATATTTCTCAGTAACAGCCGGGTGATCATTCTCAGACAAATGTTCAATGCTTGAAATGTCATTTCAATTCATTTGCTACAGCATTATTTGTGAAGTGTCCAGACATGTAACGCGATGGATGATTTTTGTTCACAGTGAAAACCGCTGTGCCATCGCAATATTACACTTGCTCTCCTCTTAAATTAAGGGCATTTCAATTTTTCCCTCGTTACTGTAACGATCTATGATTACAGCTACCTTTTCGAAAGATCGCGAACGTACAGACTTAAATACACCTTCTAGAGTTATCAGCAGTGGATACGAAACATTTCACTGTTTATAACCGTTGTGCAAAAAGTCAGGTGCAGAATTCCTCTGGAATACATTTTATCACAATTCCGAACGATAAAAAGACTATGTTACTGTGCTTACCGAATTTGTCCTTTTGTCGCTAAAAGATTGGTGGAAAATAATTATAGGGTTCCATTTAAAAAAAAAAAACTAAAAGCGACCTTGAAAACTGTGACACCGTATGGCACTACTGTAACACTGTAAAGGATAAAATCCACTTACTATCTAAATCCGCCAGAATTGCCTCGCTAGCCACATCCAAACTTCTCGACAAACATTTTCGCAGTTGAATAGTTGTACTACTGTGGTAGTCGTTTAGATCTTGCAAAGCAGCTTCAATTACAATGGGAAATTTCTCTACACTTTTTGAGACTGTTTCGTTACACACGATCATCGTAATGATAATCGCTCTAAAAACAAATTCGCAAATTGATCAGTAGGGAAAAAGTAGTATTTCACAGACAAAAAAATTTTTAAATCATCAACTGAAATATAACACTGAATGTGTAGAAATAAATAAAACGATTCGTTACGAGATGACTTTTTACCGAGTTTACGTATTTATTAGCAGGTGTATATTCTTCAGCTTTGTAACATTAGCTGTATTTCTGTAGGATCTGCATCTATCATTTTTATTGGTCACATAAAATTGCTCATATCGAATCGTTAATATCACTAATGTATAGAAATATACGAAAATTTCACGATAATAAGAAATTTACAGCAATGCATACCCAAGAAGGCCGAAGAAAAAAGTGAGGAAGAATACAAGTAGCTTAGGATGTTGAGTTGGTTTATAATCCTCCCTTGTAGGACGGCATGCAAGCCAAAGTTCTATTCCAGGTATTATGCAGCACAAAATACAACACATGCCGAGTACTGCTAACAGAACTGCTTCTAGGCGTATGGACTGTAACAATTAAAGCACACTTAACGATAAGTATAGTAGGATATTATTTTAGAACTACTTCCTTGGTCTTGTGCTTTAAAAAACAAAAAAAAAAAAAGTAAAATTAAAAATACAACTAAGTTTGAAGTACTGTTTAAATTATCTAATATTCCCTTTAAATATAATCCTTTCGAAAATTTGCTTTAATTTAAATATTTTTAAAACTTTGAAATTACCGAAATAAAAGATTTTACATCGAACATCTACCGTTTGTCACACGCGTCAAGGACTAAAATCTGCCGCAGCGAAAGGGTTAAAAGCAGTGATATTTAATATTGTAGTGTTAAAATAGACCGATTCTGTAGTAATTTCACATATATTTTTATCGAAGTTCCTTATTTCTAGGATAAGACTTAAAACTTAATCGGGTATCTTACCTCGGATATCAATTTTGATGTATCTAACCGGTTTTCAATTGCATCGGTTAATAAGTCTGTAAGTATTGCAAAATATTTTATCTGAGAATATTTCCTCTATTTGGAAATGTTACATAATAAATATCCTTTAATTACTCGCGCTCTTCAGTCGCGTGTATAGTTGGTGGAAGAAATATAGCGAGGTCGTAAATTGAATGTGTATAACGTGTAAAGTGCAAAGATGCAACTTACCAACAGGTACGTCATAAGGTTGAATAAATGACAGAAATTTTCGAAGAAAGTCGAAAATAAATATTCCTCTGTTCAAGTGTAAAGTTGCCATTCTATATTGTTTATCCGAGTTAATGCCGGGAAATTTAAGCTTCGGATTCCAATCGTTCCAATTTATCTTCAAGTGCGATATATTTGTGTTGTTTCTTGTTCCATCAATTGGAATGTCGGTAACTATTTCACTTTCATTGTATTCTTCTTCGTTGAATGCGTGAAAAATGATAATGTTGTCTGTAGTAGAATAATTATAATTATTAGGTAGCCGATTTACGTTAGATGTGTTTTCGAAGTGACCCAAAGCATCTGATGTGATGAACAATACAATAAAGATCCCTGAAAATTTTTAAAAGGACATTCATTTATTCGTAGTCGTAAATTGTATATTATAAAATTAAAGAAAAGAAATATGTCTCGTTATTATCGTATCATTTTAAATTTCACTACTTTATTAGAAATTTTACTCGATAAATTTTTCATTTTTTATCACGCATTACTTTCATGTGTAGGCAATAATTTATGACGTTTCTTTACTGCATTTTTAACATATTTTAAATAAAAAATATAAACAGTTATAGTAAATAAATTATTTACATTTATGAAACGTTTAATTGACAGGTGTAGCATGAAAATCTCGTTGTAATGATTTGATGTGTAATAAGTTTACTGGAATCTAAGATCCACTTTCAAAAAGTGGTAGTAAAAGTGATTTATTGTAGTACACTTTTTTCTATATACACATATTCAGAGAGTTTTCATCGTTTTGTATTAGTCATGGGAAATGATAACATAAAGTGATTCTTACCGTTAAACAGAACCATCCTTTTTGTCTGCAAACACAGTATCAAGCGGAAATTACAGAACAACCCTGTTGAATCGTGGTTATATGTGAACTGACACTTGAAAGATTCATGAAGGCTTCTGAAACCCTGCAAGTGCAAATGTTATTGAACCCGAGTGACAGAGATATAAAGACAGACATACTTATGAATGCACATTTACGAACTCGAAGCAAAATAATGAGCGACATCTTAAAATTTGGGTAATTAACGTTTCATCAACCTTGCTGTATATTGTATACTCAACACAAACTCTTAAACGCACGATTCAGTTTCCTAAGATTGTTGTACTTACACTGTGATTAAAAATTTAGGACAATAATTTCTACACCATTTCTGTTACTTTTTGTACCAAGAAGTACTATACAGAGATGAGAAATTGGTTAACATAAGGAATGCGGGTCTGATTGGGTCATATACCCATAAGCCCACCTTCTCTAACACAATCATAGAAGTAGGGCACATGTATTGTCATTATTGGCCGACACAATACCATCGACGAATCGGATCATTTAAAATTGCGTGACGTGAGATTAAGCGGCGCGAGTGAAGTACTCCTCTTGCCCCTGTGCCGCCCCGCGAGAAATCTTTCCAGCTCTGCATAGTAGATAGTTGAACAACCTTGTTAACCAGATGATTTGGAGTAGCAACGTATAGTTAGACCAAGCAAACTTGAAGGTTCAGGGAGGAGTAAAGATCAGGAAGTGGGAGGTGAAGGAGAACACTTCCGAAGAAGGGGCTGGACCACTTTCCTCGTCATAATAGCGGTGGCGGTACCGTGTGGGGCCTTAGTCCCCTGATGGCGCCCTTTCTTCTCCTACATTGAGAGAGGGAGGTCTGCGTGGACCGCTGGTTACTGGGTGGGGGACCATCGTATGCGTCCCCCAGAATGGGGCGGAGCAAGGCGCTTAGGAGGCGAATTAGGAGGCCAAGGGAGGGGCCTGTTTGAGACCCTCCCATCGGTCCGACGGGGGAGTACCCGAAAGTACTTGAAAATGATGCTGGGGGACTCGCAGCGTGCCCGACGAGGGTAGCCATGGGAATTTTAGTGGGTAAGGATCCCACACTACTATGCAAGATTTTTCCCATGTAAAAACAGAAGAAAACAGGTGCTATTAATCGTTTGTCTTGCGTGCTGACCCAGGTTGAAAGACAAAGTGGGCAGATAATCTTATTACTTTCTTGTTCTTTGATCAGCGCGCGATATACCGACAGCTGATTGAAAACCACTTATCTATCTACACTAAAACTTCCCCTCAAGCAGGGACTAAAATGCTGGTATGTCAGTTACCAGTTTACCGACTCCAAATAAACGCTGCAGCCTCTTCGATGCGAACTGTTATACGGCTGGTGTCAATGCTTTCCATGCATGTCGCTTGCGCATTGCAAGCTATTTCACGTAGAACAGTAGCTGCCACGCGTGGGACGAATCAATGCAACTCATTGTATATATAGCGGAACTTTCCCCAGTGATAAGGCGATTAGTTGTATATACACGGATGATATATGGATATGAACGTGTACTTATATGTAGTACGTGAATACTTAGGAATAGTATCGATACTATTGCTATTGTCACTTTTCTTTCATAAGACATATGTGTTTACCTTCTGTACATTGAAATATTGCAAAAAAATTGTCCACGACGCGCAAGTTTTAAACAAATAAGATTTTTAACGGTGAAAGTTAGAAACAAATGTTACGTGAAATTTATAATTTTAGACGATCTACCGAAAAGTAAAAATTATAATCTTTTATATATCGGTAGATCGTCTAAAATGAAATATTCTTTATACATATGTAACAATCGTTTCCATTTCTTATCGATAAATATTTATATGCAAAACAACAGAGAGACTCGTTTGTCTGAATATATCCCGTACCGTTACAAAATTGTATTCGAAGAACAAAAGAACACGAAAACTTTCAGGTTTGATTTCACCCCTCAAAGTATGTTACCACCGATAAAAAGTTGTTCCTTGCATACTTCATCATGCTCTACATACACATAAAGTTTCATTAAAATCAAAATTTTCAGGTCGGGTGACTTGCCTTGTTGGAAAATGAAACAGTAGAGAAAGGAGCAAATCGGAAGGTAAAGGTAGTTTTAGATTTAATTTAGAAATTAATGGAAACCTTGCATATGATAATTTTTTCACGTCCTACGAATTAATTTAACCTTTTTTCAAGAAGAAGTTCGTAATAATAAATTCATTAAAAAGAACCAGTTAGACAAAAAAGAAACATCGCTACATAATTTTCTTCTCCCACTTTCAGATACTATTATAATGCTCTAAAAAAATGTAATTTCGTGAACTTCCATGCATAATAGCAGGGAAATTCACACGTCAGGTACACAACTAAATATCCCGTTACATGTTTTAATTACAACAGTCCAAGGGAGGCACAGGCAGAAATGTTAAAATCGTCGTGCTAACAATCTCAATGATTATTCACGCTTGACAGGTGTTTAAAATTTCTACGCGCTTTAATGCTTACCCGTAGACTCGCTGTACCGTGACTTATTTGATATTTGATTATATTTAGAGCCAGGAAGATTTGCAAAGGGCTACAAATTTCACGTTCTAAAACCTGTCTTTCACGTGGAATTACATCTGATCCTGGCTCATCGTGTCTTTTACGAAAGCGTCATCCGTAGTGCTTTGTTAAATTATTATATTAGATTGTGCATCAGATCCCTCCGCTGCAAGTACCACTTTACCTATGGCACTTCTAAATGTAAATGAAGCTGGCGAAACGAGAGCACCAATGTCTTACATAATCCTTTCTCGGCAGAAATGAAAAGATTTCTTCCTTCTGAATTACAAAAACTTCTTTTTTTTTTCATGGGCAATCGTCCACGTTAAAGGGAAAATCACCCTCAAATTTGGGGGTTGGAAATATATCTGGTTTAATATCTGGAAAATTGTTAAAGATACAGGAATTGTGTTAATTGACGAATTTGATTGGATAGATAGATTTGAAAGAAGATTATTTATTTAAATAATTACATTGAAAATCATGACCTCTTCCTTAATTTTTGTTTGTAAAATATCTATCAATTTTCCTGTAAAGTGTACGTAGATTACACGCCCAAACACAGAATACGAATAAACCAGAATTTTAATTTTTAGCAAAATCAGAAAATTAATTATTCCCGAAATTTGCTTACACAGAATGTTTTCTCGTGGATGAATAAGATTTTTCAGTTAATTTAAAGTGTAATTCTGGACAAAAAATGTCTTATAATGACCCTTAGTTAACGAGATACTGTTAATGAAAATTGCGGTTTTGACGTGTCGTAATATCCCAAATGAATCTTCACCTCCGGAACTATTAATCATACGGACACGACTTCTTTTTCATTTTACTCAGGAAAGCTTGGGCTTCCGAAGTCATTTTTCTAAAGCAAAGGAAGATATTGTTACCATCCAAAAATTACGAATAAATTTTTATCTTGCAAATTTGTCGGTGAAAATTTACTTTGAAAAATCTGAAATATATATATCAATATTATACATTTTCCGAACGTCTTCTTTATAACATATCAATATTTTGTACGTGTTTTATTAGAAAATTAACGTCACAATGAGCCATTAAGTGTAGCTTTACGCGCCGACTCGAGCAGAGAGCCGAGGCGTACGAACTCCTACCAGCCCAGAGTATCTCTTGCCACGGCATGTCGTAGACTTATCGCAGTTCCTACAATGAAGGTCTGCACCACAAAATTTCCATACCCGGGGTATTAATTTTACCTATTGGGAAAATGACTAACGACACATGGTATAATATAATTGGAAAACTTAAGAATAATTAGTTATGTTAATTTTCAAAAAATCAAAATTCTGATTTATCCATATTTTGTGTTTGAGTGTGTACTCTGCACACAGAAATTTACACGAAAATCGATAAGAATGTTTTAATTTACAAGAAACATTACCAATATGAAAAGGTAATAATTTTGTACATATTATTTAAACAAATGAACTGTTTTCAAATTTATTCACACAGTCCAATTTGTCATTGAAAAATACAAAATTCGTCAATTTACACCATTCCTTTATCTCTAATAGTTTTTGAAATATTGGATCAAATACGTTTACTACCCTTAACTTTGAAGGCGAATTTCACTCCTTCACTATGAAACATTGCTAATATAAAAAAACACGTGTCGAATATTTTTTTGAGAAGAATCATATACCACAGTTTTATCAAAATCGGTATTCATCTAGATCTCATTGCTCCCATTTCTCTCTATGCAGTTTCATTGGCATTATTTTTACTATGGTTGCTGTGTTTCCTATCGGAATCTATTTCATTGAATTGGAATGCTGTATCCCTTTCATCAGAAGTATCAGCCACTCTCATCTTCAGTATCAAGATAGAATAATATAGTATTTTATATTTTTGTCTCAAATTTCTTTTTCGTTATATGTACTTACGAAAAATAGTACAAACTGGCACATTATACGTGATTTACGTTTACAGTGTTTTGAAATTACCGATGAATAGAATGGAGAATACACTGTTGAAAAATGATTTTTGAAAAAAAATTTCTCTTTCGGAACATTTTAAATTACATCTCTTAAACATTTTCCCGTATCATCAGGCACAAATGTATACTCCAATGTTCCGATTTATATGCGACACTTTGTATGAATATAACTGTAAAATGATAAAGCCACATTTCGTACCGGGGGATGTGACGTTCCGAAGAAAATTTTTCTTTCTTTCCTTTCTCTCATGCTTCATTGGCTGGAATGAGAGTCGATAACACGGAGCATTGTGGGAACTCCTTAACCGAGCGCAGACTTAACCTTCGGTGTTTAAAAGCAAAACTAGTCTGTCTCCTCTCTTTAAACAGCGCACTTTTTATTTAAAAACCAACGTGATTCTATAACTAAATTATTTAAAAATGTGATACATCATATCGCACCTCAGATTTCTCAAAAACCGGAAGTCTAACTACTTTTCACGGACTTGTCTGTGTTCCTCCACATTTTTAAGAGCCACAGTTCATAAAGATAGAATTGTCAACGACAAAAGGCTCTTTTGGGGACAGCATAAACAAATTTTAATTTAGACGTATTTTTTGCTTTTGTTTGTAATTGACGTTCGCAAATTTACACTAAAATGGAATCACGATTTGTAAATAAGCAGATTTTTTAAAAATCTATTTAGACAGCTGAGTTGTTAGTTACGAAATGGTTACAATTTTGCAGTTTTAATCATTTCCTTACACCTAATAGTTACACTTATCAGTAGTACTGATACTTTCTTATCAGTAGTATTCTTCAATTTTAGTACACTTAAATCATGCAGTAAATTTCATTAAAATCAACTCGTGACACTTAACCCCTCCGCTACGAAGGGCGTATACATACGCTTTGTAAAAGTGGTCGCTCATTTACGAAGAGCGTACACATACGCCCATCTAATACACAGAATTCATTAATTCGTTTTCACACGTAAAAT